CTCCAAGATTTACAGACTTTTTGATATTCAAACCATAAATATACACAATCACAAATTAGCCTACATATAAAATGAAACGCTGCAGTGATTGTAGAGTTGATCGTTTAGATGCCCAGTTTGTTTGGGATGGTAGCCGTCACAAAACCTGTATTAAATGTAAAAAGAGTCATGATCGAAGAAGAAACCCGAATATTTAAACAATAATCACAAATTTAGCCAATCATACTGAATTAACTGACCACGTTGAACCAACTGACTGTGTTGAATCGACCGATCATGTCGAATCGACCGATCATGTCGAATTGACCGACCATGTTGAATCAACTGATCATGTTGAAATTATTAACCAAGAAACAGAACAGGTGAATAATGTTGGGTGTGTCGAAATTGATTATACTGAAGTGGGTGACTTCATTGCAAATGAGATCCAAGAGTTAACAGAAAACGTGAATACCGATGATGAAGCTAATATAACCTACAAGACGCAATTTTTAGTAAATATGAATATAGATACTCAAAATATGACAGCAAAAAAAATTGCTGAACTTATCGTTATTGAAGTTGAGGACAGGACGATTATTTGTGGGTGTAAGTTGGTGTATTCTTTTTTTTAATTTTTTTTTTAATTTTATTTTTTTTTATATTTTTATTTTTTTTTTAATTTATATTTTTATTTTTTATTTTTTTATTTATATTTTATTTTTATTTTTTTTATTCATATTTTATTTTTTTTATTTATTTATTTTATTTTTTTTTTGTCATTTTTATCTTTCCTTGTTTTGTTAATATTTGTACTAATCATAGTTATCAAGAAGCAGACATATCAAAAAAATTTGGTGGCACGATGAGCAGGTTCACTTACCTGTGTTGCCAATCAAGAGAAGCGCAAAGTGAAGATTATAAGGAATCTAACTGTAAGCGACACGTGTGCTATAACTATAAGGGTAAAATCTCAGTACGGGTCGATGCAGTCCTCGGTATTGCAAAGGTGAAAATTCACCATGAATCCCTTCATCAACGTCCAAATTTTTGTGCTAAGATGTCAGATGATCTACGAAAAGAGATTAGTAAGTTTGCATAGCTTACCACAGCTCAATTAACAAGCCATCTACGATGCAAAGAGTTCGATCTTTCAAGATATTCGCACAAGCGCATATACTATTGGAAGACTAAAGCAAATAAGAATGTGTACCAGCATCATGATGATCAGGTCGAATCTTCACGCAGGCTGCTTGACGAGCACATAGATCAGGGTTTCTATAAATGCCTTGACCTACAAGATTCGGAATCCACAGCCATTGCTTTTACCACCCCGTTGCTAAAGAAAATCAATGATCTCAATATTCGGGTTAATGAGATTTACATGGATGCAACCTATAGAACTGCACGTGGACGTTATGAGCTTTATGGCATTGTCACTGACATTGATGGTGCAGGTTTTCTTATTGCTTATCTCGTAATGGATACAACCAAGGCCAAAGATACAAACACCAGCACGGGAAAACGTAGTATTATATTAGAAGACTTTCTGGCAGCTATTAAAGTAAATTATATAAAAATAATGTAGTTAATAAATTTTGTTTGTTAATAAACATTTTAATTTTTAATTTTTTTTTTAAATCACATAATATAAACCCAAATTTTGTCTTTACTGATAAAGACTTCGTGGAAATAAATGCAGCATCCAAAGTGTGGAGTAATTCGGTTGTTCAATTGTGTGCTTGGCACATACTTCGGGCTGTGAAGCATAAACTCGAAGAGAAAGCAAAATCATCAGGCAATTCCAGATTGATAACCGTGAATTATGACGCTAGTCAAGCAGCCAATGAATATGATTTTATCGACCCCACTTTTTACCCAACCGAAGAAGACCGTAATTCACGATCGTACATAATTTGTCCTCCCACATTTCGTGAAAAGATTTTAGAGCTGATGCAGAAGCACTTCGACATGCATCCGTTAATACCTGTAGATGAACAGGGAAATACAATAAATCCAGAGGCTATTAGAAAAAGCGCCGTAGAAGAAATGTATAAGTTTTGTGTTGAATATGAATTATGGTTAGTATTTAGAGATACAATATTAGATATAGATATGTTAGAACTCTTACCAACTACTGTGGTGATACAAGTGATTTAGATATGGATATGTTGGTTTTGTATTGGAATGAATGTAATTTCTATATTGATTTACTGTAAATAATTTTACCGACTATTGTGGGATACAAGTGATTTAGACATAGTTTGTTAGTTTTGTATTGGAATGAACCGTGATTTCTATATTGATTTATGGTAAAAAAATTCGAGTACTATACTTACAAGCTATGATGGTGATGCAAGTGATTTAGATATAGTTATGTTGGTTTTGTATTTGAATGAACGTAATTTCTATGGTGTTTTACTGTAAAAAAACTCAGTTACTGTAATTGCGAGCTATGTGGTGATAAAAGTGATTTAGATATGGTTTTGTTAGTTTTATATTAGAAAATTTTTAATTTTAAATTTTGTTTTTTTTTTTTTTTTGAATACTTAATATTTTTCTTAAACTTTTAATTTTCTTTTAGGTTGCTTTGGCCCTATCTTTGGACCAATTGGTACTTATCACGACGATGGCACCTTTGGGCATGGTCTACCAAACCAGTAATACCATATGGGAAAACTATGATGAAGATTGAAGCGCATTGGAGTGTCGTTAAACAACATTATTTACAGCGTTTCAATTAACCTAGATTAGATCTCCTACTGTGGACGCTTCTCAAAGAAGTGGTGCCAGCACAAATAGACCGATTTTCACAAATTCTGAATAGTATTATAGAACCGTGTTGGTGGGAAGACTTCAAGAAAGAGTGGATCTATGCAGATGCGAGTGATGAAGAAAGGGCAAAAATACGTAGTAATAAAAGAAAGAGGAGTGTTGATGAAAGAGATTCAAATAGTTTATACTTTACTGAAGTTGCACAATGGGTTTGCAGCTGTCCAGCATTTTTCAGGAATCGCTTTTTGTTGTGTAAGCATTTAGTCAGGCAAACTGTAAATACACCTAATGGAAAAAGACGACATTTACTTAGGTGTGGGTTTAAACGTCGTATCACGCCACCATTCCTCATCCTAAATGATCTTGGCACCAATGATATATCACCAGAGGCTCAAGCTGTTGCTCAAGTTGCTGAAAACAACATTGTCGATAGTTTTCCTGATAGTTATAATGCTAATGCAGATGAAGATCCAGATGAGGAAGCTCGTGCTTATGTAGAATCGAATTGGAAATTATTTGAGCAGGCCTTTAATCGAATCAACTCAGAAAAAGCTACTAATAATTGGCGACATGTTAGTGCTATGATGAAATGGAGTAAATTGGTACCAATGGAAAAAGACATTCAAAAAGCAGAACGGCGAATACATCAACAAGCAACTTGGGCTCCAGAAAAGTCTAAAAAACCATATCTCATGTATTTATCACGTCCAGAAGAGCCAAGATTAGTAGACGTGGTGATTGATGAAATTGTTAGTGATAACGAAGATAATAGTATTAACAATTAAAAAATGGCTAAAATCCTTACATACACTGTACCTTATTCATAAGATCAAGTCCGTCTAGTTTAGATTGACGTCTAATAAAAAGAAAAACTTATTAAATTTATATTTTTCTGTTTAATTCAATTACATTGTGTTCTAAATAGTTTAAGAATTTGAATGCAACCGAACTTTGGGTCGCTAATTTTTAACTAATTGATTTAAGGTAAAATTTTCCATAACGAATATTTGATTATCTAATAAAACGGTAAAGATGTGACGATTGCGGTGGTTGCTGCGGCAGGGTGTCGATCATCTACCATGATGTATCCGGCAGGGTGTGGATCATCGACCACATGTAACCGGACTTTGGGGGGGCCGCCCTGTCGAACTCGAGACGGGTATGTCTAGCGGGGATTGGCATAAGTATAATGATCATCTCAAATTACTTATTACAGAAGACTACTTAATGATAGAGCACAAAAGTCTTGAGCCTAAAGTAATAAAGAATTATACAGGATTTATGGTCACGAGCAATCATGATGCTTCACTTCGGATAGAAATAGGAGATTGTCGTATTGTATACTTCGATGTGTCTTCTCAATGCAAGAATAATATAGCATATTTCAGGCATTTAGGCAAAGTACTGGAGCATCCTGATGCACCAAGTGTAGTTATGGCCTATTTACTTAGTCTTGATCTTTCAAATTGGAGTCCACAAGAGATCTCATCTACTAAAATGAAAGTTAATTTAATACATGAACAATTTTCTAATCCAATTCGATTTATAATTGATTATGTTGCACCTTGGTCTGATGATAATGTAGCCAGACCAAGTCGTACATTACTATATCAAAATTATCTTGAATGATGTGGAGAAAATGGGGAAAAACCATTGACTAGTAAAGTTGCTGGAAAGAAGTTTTCTCAAATTGGAATTGAGAGTAAACAGGTATGAGCAGGTGGTGAAAAAAGGGAATAGCAATATATTCTCGACTACTCCAGAATCGTGGCTAAGCTCTGTGAATCTGGCCTAGATGACATCGAAGAATTTTCTAATACACCTCAACCCGACTTACCTAAAAATGGGACAGCAGACATACCTATATTTAATGTACCAGAAATTGTTCCTCCGAAAATAATTCTGCCTCAGGCAGAAAAGAATCTCCCTCCTAGTAATAAGAAAGAAGATAATCAGGACAATGTAACCCAAGCTCTATTTGACTATATGGTAGAAGAAACCAAAGCACCAGTTGCTTCAACATCTGGGACTTCCAAAACTTCTAAGACGTCTAACCTACTTGAGCCAGAAATCAATAAGCAGTCTCAAAAGGGCTAGCTCGAAACTAGCAAGCTTTCTGAATCTATCGAGCCTATCAGTAAGGTGATAAATGCACCTTCTAAAGAAACTGATTCTTCCAAGCCTATCAATGAAGTACCATCTGCCATACTTCTGAGCAGAGCTCAGTGCAAAGAGCGCCTCAGAAAAAGGGCAATCGAACTTGGTGAAGATCCTGATATATTTGTAACTATTACAGAAAAGGACAGACTCGACTCCATTGCATTCCGGAATAGAATGAAAACTGATGCTCGGATATGCGGTTATGCAAAAGAGTGGGAAGAAAACCCTAAAGAATATATGGACATGTCAGTGCGAGAAAGATTGATAGGAGAAGAAATAATCTGTTGTGACCTTGAAGATAAGGGGACCACATCCTCCTGGCTCGATACCGATGAGAAGTGGCAAAAAAATATAAGCATACTCCAGGAAAACAGTATGCTTTGGTAAAGAGCAAATTATTATTATTTTTTTCGAATTAAAAAATAACTAGATTAATATATAACTAGATAACTCTTATTATTCTCATGGCTACGAAAACAGCTACTCCAAAGACCCGAAAACCTAAAGTTAATAACTTTGTATTGGTCTTAGAGCAGTTCCTAGAAAAGCATAATCTGATAGCCAACTCTGCCCCAGAACAATTAAACGAACATGCTCCCAAACTCGATGTATTACTTCTTGATTGGATGGCTCGCAGGTGTGTTAAAGTCGCCCTTGCCAGAGACACTAATAACAGACGCTCATTTAGTGAAGAGCAGATAGAGGCTCTCTTACCAGATAAGAGAAAAGGAAAACTCACCATAGAGGAAAGGGCAAAATATTGCGCTAAAATCGGCGATGCTATGGACATTTTCGCCCATCATTTAGATTTAGGCCCAAAAAATGATTATGAAAATGAAATAGTCGCCAGTGGTTCACGCCAGTCGCAATTTCGTGTGAAATTAGCAGAAGGCGGGGTAAGTCCTGAAATTATTAATACCTATGCCAAAGATCCAAAACTTATTCAAGAGTCTAATAAAATTCAGAAAAAACAAACTAAAAAACGAATGGCTAATCCGGATAGAATTCCAATACACTTCTTATTAGCAAGAGTGCTTAAAAGGATTCAGAATATGGATATTTCTAAAATTCCATCTAAAGAAGATCTCGCAGATGTAATTGTAATGTTGAGTATGAGATCTGCAGAAGTAAGATCTCTTCAAATTATTCACTATAAACCAGATCCTTTAAATGCCCCAGTATAGTATAAAGAAGGTTATTCTTGGTACTGTATAGGCTATTTAAAAAGTAGAGGAGAGAAGAAAAAAAAATCCCAAGCCCTGACTATTTCTTTCCATGGAGAAGAGCCTAGAACGTGCCAGAGAATTACTCACCTGAATCCAAAATGCAATTAAGGCAAAAAAGTTGTGTGATACTGTTTTTACAGAAAATGAAACGCGTAATGCCTGGCCATTTAATGAATTCTTAAAACAAGAACCTTATAGAACTATACCTAAAAAATTAAGAGATTATGGAAGTAAACACGTTTCCAAAATTCATGGTGGTAAGAAACCAACTCCCCAACATCTTAAACTGCTTTCGAGAATCGCAATGAGACAAGAATCAGATCGCCTTGATGCAGGTGATAATTACGCTATAGGCGATACAGAATCAGAGGAGTCTAATTTTGAACTAGAGATAGGCGACAGTTCAAAACCCCAAACACAGGCTTCTTTGCTATCTCAGACAATAGAAATGAATTCAATGTTAGCTGAAATTGATGCAATGTTAGCTGAAATTCAGAAATAAATACCAGAAGGAGGGTCGGGTAGTGAGCACTTGTTTAGAGAATTTCGCTGGGCCCTCTCCTTTTTTTCTCGCAAGCTCGAAAAAAGATATATAATTAACTGTTTCAGAAACTAAAAATCTGTTAACTACCTATATTTGGCTTCAAGCAAGAATTGCGAGAAGGCAGAATCACAATTGAGAGATATATTTTTATATTAATATTTTTTTCTTATAAATTGGCGGTGTTGAAGTAAAATAAAAATCCCGCCTTCTCGTGATTAAATCACTCAAAGCCAGATATATCGGTAGTCTGGATATATCGGTAACCCAGATAGATCTTTTTTCGAGCTTGCGAAGCCTTAGTCAATAAAATCTACACGTTAAACATGTCCAATATTCAAGAATGGAGAAAAAATAGTTATGCTCAATACATGTTGACCGAATATAGTTTAAACTATATCAATAATCTAAAAACACCAAAAGCTTGGTTACAATCTCGCATTGTTTATTAAATCAAACCCGAGTTCATCATATTCGAAAAGATTTAAACCTTTCACAGAATAAGCTAGAGCATCCAATAATGCGTTGTGTTCTAATACTCCAAATGAATTAGATCTAGAAAATGCAACAAATAATCTATTTTTTAATTGCTCAGATAAATTAGAAAGGCGCATGGTAAATAGTCTAAGAAGAATAAAACGTTGACGAGCTTCCTGGTCTCGATAAAGCTTTTTCAAAGCATCTTCACCAAAACATCTTTCATAATCCCATCTGGTAAATTTTTTTCTAGGGTCCCAGTTCTAATAATTGTCCTGATCGTCATCACTATCTTCATCATTACTATCTTCTTCGTCGATGTCAGATTCGCTATTGTCATCATCATTCATGTTGACAGGTACGACTTCATTATCTAATAATCCCAAAGCCTCCAAGAATTTGTGTACCCCAATCTTATTATCAGTACTAATGTCAGAATAAGTTTGTTCTATAATAATAATATACCAAAATACCTTATCCCCTGCCTTCTCATGATAAAATCACTCAAAGCCAGATATAGAAAGTTATTAGTACTAGATAACAGTCTTTTAAGTTTAAATATTTTTTTTTTTCTCGCAAGCTTGAAAAAAAGGGTTATTTAGCTTCTCTTGTCCCACAGATAAGGTCATGTGATTTAACTGCATCCTGTGTTATGTAGTGGGTATTTTTGCAAATCTATGGAGAATAGATCAATGAATAATTAATCCGCCAACTAATTTCTGGAATGTTCTGGTATAGTACCCATATTACGAATCTTTAAATTAGTATTATGCAAGTCAATCTGATGACTCTAATGTTAGAATAGGACGAGAATGGAAATTACGCCAGTGATTTACAAATCTGTTCCTACGATATATAATGGGCACTATTAGCATCATCTATTCTACATAATAAAATTCCATTATGGGTCATTGGTAGATTTGTATAGGGTACGAATAGGGAATTAAAATAACATATAATTACGCAAAAAAACATATGCAATCTCTCCCCATACTAATTATTTCGTGAATGAACAGATCATTAAGCCCGAAATTAGTTTTTTTTTTAAATCTACAAATTAGATTTGTTAGTCGTGAGGAATAAACTATATAAATAAGCTAAGTATAAGAAATTTTGTTATGTAAAACTTATCTGTACTTGCTTCGCCAATATCATCATGTCTCTTGCTAATCTTCAAAATCTCGCTCTTAATATTTTAAAAAAAACAAAACATAGTGCGGTACAAAATATTGACATTACGGAATTGCCACCATGTAAAATATGTAATAAAAAAATTTTAACAGTTAACTTTGAATCATTTACAATACTTCCATGCGGTCATGCGTATCATAGGAAATGTATTGAAAAAAATTTTTTACTTACGGAAGAGAACAAATGCCCTATTCCTGATTGCGACAAAATTGTTGATCCAGTAATATCTGAACGAAGGTTTTCTGAATCATCTCAGTCTAGTGGAACTTCGGCTATTGCAAATATGTTAGGCAATAATCTTGGGTTGAATTCACCAATGAATGTATTACCATTATTGGGAAGTGAAATACAAAAAAAGCATGTTGGTGAATCTACTGACAAATCATCCAGTAAGAAAGCAAAGAAGCAAGTTTCAAAGGAAGATTCTTCTATATTAAAAAAAACTTATTGAGAAATTGACATCAATGGTACCTGAAAATTCTGAGAAAGTAATAGAAGTCAACGAAAATACAAATAATTTTTTATACCATTATAACAAAATTTCACAGGCTAAATTTAAAAATAAAATAGCAAATAGAGATGTAATTGAATGTTACTTTAACTTTGGTATAGTTTTAAAAAAACGATTTGATCATTACAAAAATATGAATCATGGAAAACACACATGTTTAGCCTTGGTTAATGATGAAATCCGAAACAACTTCCCGATGATATCACCAATGACACATTGAAAAAAAGAAAGGAAAGATCAGGAAAAATATATGATTTATTTGTTAGTATTGGTAAAGAGAAAATAAGTGGTATTAGATCATTTACGGCATCAAACATTTCAAATCTGAGTCAAGAAAATATTGATTATATAATTGTTGAAGTTTTAAAAAAAGAAGGTAAAGTTTGATTGCTACTGCGCCACATTACTGCGCCAGTGACATGGATGTCACGTCTGAATTTATAAAAATCATGTATGATATTAACTATCGGATTCCACTTTAATTAATAAAACACTTTATAAAAGTTTTGCCCATATCGGGCTGGTAATTTTTAACCAATGTATTAATTACTTATTACTGCGCAAAGTGAACTGATCATTGAATAACCCACATCGGGTCTAGTGACATGTGTTAGAATTATTTCGCATATAAATTTATCATCTTACAAGGCTTATCGTTATGCATAACTTATTTGTGAGACAGGGCACAATCTCAAAATGCCATTTTTCATTTTTCGACCGGGGCGCCCCAGCTGAAATTACAGTTGAGTTTGCGAATTAATACAAAAAATATAAACCATATTGTCAGCACATGATAGAAATAGATAGATAATCATTGAACTATGCAGCCAATCAACAGGCGTAATTTACATAGATTATTTTTTCTTATAGTTCAACTTCAAAGTAAAATAAGTCACGTTTTAGAAGAATAAAACTATCCACACAACTTATAGTAACAATTTAATAGTCTAGCGATTTTACTAGAAAGGTTTTTAATAAGAAGTTACACGTTCTTTATTATATTCTTTAACTATTACATAATTAACACAAAACTATACTATCGTATACATAAAACGACTTCTATTGAATTAAATATTCTCTAGAGAATATACAACTTTCGAAAACAGTCTGTAAAGCTTATAGTAAATCAACGTGTTAGTTATTTAAATGATAATAGATAAAAAAAAAAAAAAAGAAACAACAACGTTGAACTCTACGAATTAAGCAGTACAATATTTTTTTATTACCTCCTATTATACAGTAGACAGTACTTCAACTCTTAATAAATCTACCTTTTATTGCGTGATGCAAGCTTGATGCAACTTGATGCTTAACAAGATGTTCGTTACGAAGGTATTTTATTAGTAAAGTATAGTATGTTTAGTTGGTTTTTTTTTAAGTTTACTAATACCCGAAAACTTTGGTTTTATACTACTATCCTATATAAATGCTTGTGTAACGTCGATCCCGGAAATCATCGGAATCGAATGTCTCCCTGCTCCAGGGGAGACCTCCCCTGGACTCCCCTGCTACAACCTCGGTAGTCACATGCCCGCACATTTTTTGTTACTTTGTCTACACGAATTTCTTCTACGCGAATTGTTCTTTTTCTACTTGCATCGATAAAAAAAGTATGTAGAACAAGTCTTTCGTCTGATCCATCGCAACTTTACTAATTCTTCGTTTTCAGTGGAACATTTCTCCAGAAGACCACTTTTCCGATTTCTCACTCAGCCCGATGTCGTATCTGCGATTAATTCTATAACTGCTGATAATATATTCGACTACTATCAGCAGGAAATGCCAAATAACCAACTTTCGCAAGTATATCAAGTGATAATCCAAGATTTGGAGGAAGTACTCGAATCAAATTTCTTTAAAGAAGATACGACGCGTGTTCTGAAGGACATTAGAGACACTTGGGTTGTAAGTAAACTATTTTATATATTATGAATTGGAGGATAGAGCCTCTCGTTTAGGAGAGGACTTAAGTATCTGAAAGGAAGTAGGGACTGCGTGTCGCTTACTTCTGGCGTATGAGGACTGCGGTCGCTCATATGACCCTGATCGGTGGCAAACTTGGGGACTGCGGTCGCTCAAGTTTGGAAGTCTGGGGACTGCGGTTGCTTGGACCTAAACCACTCCTCCCCAATCGTTTCGAGCTAATTCGTGTAAGTCTTATAACTAATGTTATCTTTTCATTTTGAGACGTGGAAAAAACAACGCATTAGATTCTATAAAAATGTAGAAACGATCAACAAACAAAAGACCGGTCGCGAAGTTCAGTTTGTGAGTGCATATTTGTTGGATTCTTATTTTTTTTACTATAGAAAATGAGCTCATTACAATCACTGTTTTCTCTTTATAAGCAAAAGTGCGTCACGAAATATCAAGGAGGTATCGCTAAAGTTACCAACGCGGAAGTTGATAAGTGGGCTAAAGAATCGGTAAACGTTGGTAAAGAAAAGATAGGTCTTAATCACGATCAGTTATAAGCTACAAAATTTTTTTAATTGCGAATATGTTGCAGGGAGAACCTTCAGTCCGCAGATCGCCTCGACCAATGAAACGCGTTAACTACGCTGAAGATAATTCAGACGAAGAGAGGAAGATGAGGAGAGTAAATTCGCAATCGACGGAATCTCCACAACCTAGAACCCCACCGCAAGCTCCTCGGGTTTTAACTCCATTGAAAACAACTCCGAATAAGCGACCGCGGAATAAAGAGGAAATTCAGCGGTAAGTCTCCCATTTCCTACTCGCTGTGTATCACTTAACAAATGGAGAAATTCTAATAGTCTCTTAACTCGCAAATTCCTCCAGATATTCCGAAGATATCTCTGTTATATGTGCTTTTGATAAATCTGTTTCGGAGTTGACCTTAGAAATCGGCGAGGAGCTTGCCATTGAGCTATCCTCTATTCGTGACATCAATCCTGCTGTGTGGTCGGATGCTCTGGAAAAATACGTTGATACTTCTCTTAAAGAAACTGGAAAAAAATTCAAAACTGCAATTCAGGTTGAAGTTCTGAATGAACCATTTCGGTTATATTGCGAAAAAGTTCTTCTTGATTTGTAGGTAGATGTTAGTATCTGATGTTGTTAATCAAAATAAATATTGACCACTGATTCTTTTTTAGTTATAATCTTGTTGATGTAAACTCTACAATGGACCGAAATATAGGCGAACGGAAATTTATTACATATCAAATCTCATCGATTTTAAAATTTTATGAGAGGACGTTTTTGAATCTTAACTTCGATTGGATTGAAAGCCATGCATCTTCGGCAAAAATAACAAAATCCGCAACAAATTCAGGCATAGTTAAAGTAGATTCAAAGGCAACTCGGTATTCAGATGGACAAGAAGTTTGGCATATGGAAGTGGCCGGTGGACCGTGCAAAACAACAGACTTACATACCCTTGGTGATACGAAAAAAACTATGCGAATGGATGTTTTGAATTTAATTGGAATCACTTTGATTGTGACATAAAACTCGCCACTAAAATCAAAGTGTTCTGTACTCAGGTGATCGGTAAGTAATAGTATAATTGTTTTTTTTTTTTTGATATTCATGTTTCCTGTTTCTTCAGGTACACGAATGACTCTCTATGCATTGAATATGCTCCCGGATGGATGATTTCTTTCTACGGAACTTGCTACAGCTTTAATCCCTTTCAGCTTCAATGGTCGAAATCAATATAAAGCTCTTCTCAGAATGATGGCTATCTTTCATGTATGTATCTGATGATTTATGTTCATATATTTTATTTTTCAAAAAAAAATACTCATTTGATAGTGGTATCTTTTCCTTAGGATGAGATAACAAAACAAGAAGAACTAATGGGCGAGATTGAACGATCTGTACTTCGATCTAAAGGAACAACAGTTCGTCATGTATTAAAGATTCCCGATGAATTGTTTAAGTGAGTCTGTATATTTAAGTTAGCAGATGATAGAATAGATTTTCTGTAGACACTAGCTGATTTAATATTCACACTACCATTAACTAATTATCATCACATATATTTATCCTTAGTATTAATGCAGATTAACAAATAAAAGCTGTTTATCCAAAAAAATATTGCAATACAATTCATACGAATTGACAATCAAACGTGATATACATTATTTTATTATGTGTTTGGACTTTGATATATGTTGTGCTTTATTTAACCTTGAGGCAAATCTTGCAATACACAATTTATTTTTTAATTCATGGTGTACATCTGAATAATAAATAATGTAAAGCTCGTTCACCCAAATACCCTTACATAGTGATCGGCGTAAACGGAACGCGCACGTGATTTTTTTCTTGGCTCAGATTTATGATTTGTTCAGTAAGTTGGGATCAAGCGGATTTAGAGCTTTACAGCAGTAACCTTATCCAGTATTTCCCAGGATGATATAGATTATGTTTTAGCCAAACCTTCACTTTCGTAATATTCAGCTTATTTATGATCACGTGATGTTGTGATATCATATCACGATCTATGCATAATGATATCGATATCAAAATCTTCATTAATAAAAAAGTTACGCTGTTTACTATGGTCGATATCTTGTTGGTCGATGGTGTGATGGGTATAGTACATCTATTACCGGAAAATTAAATCATATACTTGTAGAGGTGAAACCTCATTGCTCCGCAATAATATACCCGAAATAGATTTTATGTGTCAGATATGGCGAATTTGAATCAAAAACGTCGATGCGATGTGCAATAAAAAAAATTTGCTTTATTGTAACAATAAAATATATAGGCACACAGATGCCGGATACATCGGTATAAATGCATCGTTTATAAATGTCTATTGTCTGCAAAGCAAGGAATTCTGTATCTAATAGGCATAGATTGAACGGTTCGATTTTGTATAAGTTTCGCTGGTATTTAAATCATAATAATAACCTTCATCATCGTCATCAGAAAAACTACAGAAACTCCCATCTTCTTCGTTATCATTGGTGAATTCATCGTCATCAGAGAAATTTTCTAGCTCATCGTCAGATAAAGCAGTAATTAAAGATTGTGGTTTGTTATCATTGGCATTTGTATCACTTACTTCACTTACCTCGGTTCCAGTAGATGCATTTACCGAAGCTTCTGGTAATTCCGAATCTTGATCATCTGAAGAATTGTTCTGTTCATCGGTATATTCTATATCAGGCTTTTTGGTAAAGTGATCTATAATCGTTTGAATCTGAGAATTAGTAAATTTCGAAATAGCATTTGCACTATATGATTTAATATATTTTACTTTATCTAAACCTATTTTTTCGAATAACCCGTAAATTTTTCTAGCTCTTTGTGTTTGCTTATGTAATGTATTACGTTTAGTATCAAGCTGTGCAATAATAAAATTATAAATTTGTCCTTTCGCTTTTTTCTCACCAACCTGCTCATTTTTTATAATGTTTTTAACTTGATTATCGAACTCAATAACATAATAGTACCAGCATAAAATTTCATCTTGATTGGCCTTTATTGCTTGTTTTTCTGCATCACAAGCTTTCCGATATAAGGTGGCCAAATTTAGTAAAGTTTTACTTCTTGATACAGAAAGTATAGTTATATCACTTACATGATTTTCGCTGACCTGATTCGAATTTTGGGTCAGCAAAATTTCAGTCACATGATCTTGGGTAGATGGGAATGCACCATCTTGGCTATCACCTGCAGATATTTCCTGAATTAAGCCTTGTTCTTTTTTCGCTCATGAGAAATAGTGGATGTAACATTTTCTTTATATATCATTTCTACTAGAGTTCCAATCCATTATCCGTTTATCCGTTTATCCATCGGATATCCGGATATCAAATGGATAATCGGATAAAATG